CCTGTGTTCAGGTGCTCAGGCCAAGGCCCAACTTAGGCAGCAGATGCTCCCCGCTCTCCCTAGCAACCGTCTCACAGCCTTCAGAGCCACTGTTTTGTCTTGGAACCAGTCAGGCTGAGGATGAAGGTTCAAAGAGCTGATGTTTCCAGTTGACAGAGGGTGGACGGAGAAGGTTGACATGTAAACTTCCTGGCTCCCACCCACCCAGTTCTTTCCTTCTAGGTTGTGCTTGGGAACAGGTCTGAGACTCTCAGAAACCTCCTATGCTGTGTAGACACTGTATAAAATATCTTTCCACTGGCAGAGAGAATTACATTTGTTTTGTGCTGGGGGAGGTCGATTGTGAGGCTGGTTATTTTTTTAAAAGCTTCAATCCAGTGAAAGTAATCTTCTGAGAAACATGCTACTATGTGATACAGTCCTACCAGTCTTAGAGACTTAGCTATTGGTGTTCACGTCCATGAACATTGGTGGTACATTACATTTTGACATCAAGATTGATACTTGTACTTGTTATATCAGATAAAAGTCTGTATTTGCTGCTGTGTTTTTCCCTGGTACCCAGCATCCTGCCTTTATGTAAGAGAGCCAGATGGTGGAATTGTGGATGAAATCCCGACCATTGAGATTTGCTTTTAAATCACCTCTGTAGACGTAGGTTTTCTTAAGAGGTTTACAAGACTGGCTTTATCCTCTTCCAAGGAGGATAAAGGAAGACTTTGGTATGCATATATATAACCACATATGTCTCAGCTTATTTTAATTTAGATGAAAGAAAAAAATTATAACAGTGCTTGGTTCCTAAACTGCTTTTGCTGAGCTGTTTCCCTGAAGTGTGTCCATAGCAAAGCCTCCAATAGTGAACACTCAGTGTAGTTTTTGGCAATGTGCTCCTTTACCTGTCTCAGCTATGCCTTGGGCCATCATGATTTTGATTTTGGCTTCCTGTACTGCAGTGATCTAGGTTGTGAGTGAAATATGAAATCACATTGCTGAACAAGTCTATACCCCTTACCTGTTACTGCCCACCAGCAACATCCTAGCTATGAAAAAAGTCTGTGCTGTGTGTTATTCTAGTAGTGGGTTCAACTGATGTTAAAATGTTCCCTTTAGAGTCCAGATACAGAAACAATGACCCCTTTGATGAGCTGTCTTTCCTTGAGGGAGAAATCTGTAGCCAAGGAACAAAACATCTGAGTGTATATCTGTACATGTCTGCATGTGTGAATGTACGGGCACATTCACATGTGCTGTGTTTCAAAGGTAACTACTGCCTTTATACTTTATTGAATCAACTCAATAAACCAGATCGTGGAAGTCTAAATATCTGCAGTGATAGCTAAGAAAGATATTGCTCACGTGTAAGTCACTTAAAATATGAACAATTAGATGGAGTCTGGAAAACAAAATGAAAAGACAAATGTATTTATTTATTTTAAAGACAAATTGTAATAAAGGAACTCTTCATGTTAAGGTGAAATTGTTCACATATGTAAAGCTTACAGTGATAGGCACTACAAAGTGTGGTTATTATTTTGGTCTGAACTCTTAGGTCCATTTGTCATGGAAGATACGGAGCTTGGCTTGTGAAGAGATCTGACGCAGTAATTTTTTTCAAAAAAAAAAAAAAAAAAAAAAGGAGAAATTGCTGTTGTCAGCTGCCCTGGGTTTACGCATTTTGTAAATCACTGATGTCTGTTTACTAGTGTTTTGCTGGCTGGAGGTCGATTGGTCAAAAAAAAAAAAAAAAAAAAAAAAGCTGATGGAAAATACTCCACGGGTTCCTATGGCAGTGAGAGACCGTTTCTTCTTTTGTAACAAGTTTATATTCTTACCTGATATAAACCAAGACCTAGAGGTAAAGGCTGCAGGTGAAAGGACAAAACTGTGAATGCGTGTGTGTGTGTGAATGTGGGTCTGTATATGTACAGACGCATCTCAGTGTATGTGGTACATGCATGGGTGTGTGTGTATGTATGGGGAATTTTACAAGCATGAGGAAAACACCTGTTTTATTTGTTTCAAGTGGGCCACAGTGCCTAAAGCAGTTCTCTTCCTGACCATGCAAGATTTCTTGGTTCTCTGAAAAACTGTGCGGGTGTAAAATCTCCACTAATGAATGCAAAAATAGCTCCCCCAAAGACACAGTGGATCATGAGTTCAGTCATTGTGACATTCTGGAAACAGGCACGTAGCCAATGCTTTTACTTACCCCTCACCTTCATCAGTGTGAGGTGAGGGGTTTCATCCTCAGTGAACTCAGGTCTGATTTTAGAGAAAAGTACCTTAGTCTATGAGGTCGTCTATGAGTCTATGAGTGTTGTCTATGAGATGAAAAATCTGTTAGAAAGGAATAATAGTCTTATAGGAAGCCCATATTTTATAACACTTTCTTAAGAATAAGAATATATTGCATAGTTGAAAATTTTCTTTGCAAGTGGATTTCTTTTTTTATTTTACTGGGTACTAAGAAGTGGGGCTGTGAATGAAGGAAATTAAAGAGACAGGGAAAAAACCCTCAAAACTCATAAAATGTAATGTACACACGTAAGGCAAACACATCTTTTTTCCTGCGTAATTAATGTTATGCAGAAGCAAAGAGCCCAATATAGTTTCTCTGTCTGCAGTTTTCATCACTGAGGTTTGTCGTTTATTTATAATGTGATACATTGCTATTTAGAGGCAAAATATTTCCAGGACTCTGATGAGCTGAAAATGCACCTCTGAAAGTTTATAAATCTGCATTTATGCGTTTTCTACATAAAAGGTAGTTTTCAAAGTGAAAACCAAAATCTTCAGGCAGGCATGGTGTGCGTAAAATTATCATATATTTTCTTTGCAAAGGGCAGGATGAAGTTTTTTAAGTAGTAATCTGTTTCTTTTAAGAAGCCTCAGTTGAAATATAATGAAACAAAACATTGATACATACAGCAGCTTGCATGGATCTTAATCTGTTATGTGGAGTAAAAAAAATTCCAACCTCAAAAAGTGCAGACCAAATGATTGCACTTATCTGGCATTCGGGAGATGACAAAATTATAGAGATAGATGGTAAACAGATTAGTGCGAGGGGAGAGAGGGAGGAAGGGATGCCACTGCAAAGGAACCTCCCCAGGGGTTTTCTCTGGGCTAATGGAGGAGTTCTGTGACTGGCCTGGGGTAATTATATGAATCTATACGTGACGACGTCACAGGTCTACACACACACATGCAAGAGAAATGAGCGCCTGCAACCACAGGAGTCTGTATATGAGAAGTCCTGGTTTTCCAGTATACTGCACTTACGTAAGATACAGCCACAGAGGAGACGGAGGGTAAGGCCTCTGTGGGGTGAGTACGGGACTTTGCGTTCAATTTTTGCAACTTCTTGTGAGCCTATAATTATTTCAAAATATAAAGATCTTAGATCTGTTGAAGAAAGGATTTCAGTTACTAATTAAACGTACTTAGGAAGCAATTTAGTGCAAGACTGCTGTCTTTTCTGGGGGCAGGGATTTTAGATGTAAGCACCGAGGACTCCATTTAGCATGCCCTTGGTATCCAGGTTTGCAACGCCTAAGCTGTGTAATTGGAAGCAATGAGTGTTTTCATTTCTGCTGGAAAGCTGCAGAATCAGGACATTTTAGAGCAAGCAGGGACCTCACAGAGCTTGTGGGCCAAGATCTCAGGTTACAACTCCCTGGGCTTTGGTATCCTCCCGGGTAAAGTGAGAACTTTATTCTAATTTCTTCCTAGTGTTTGGCCTACTTCTACAATTTAGAATCCACACCTTTCCAATACAAACTGCAGAACATTTAGTGGCAAACCTCTAAGTTGTGCCTTGGTATTTATTATAAATATTCAAATGCATGTTGAGTACAAATGTAGGTAGGTATATGCAAAAAGAAACTATTTGTTACATAACACTAGGTCGTATATTAAAAACAACTGGAAAGCAAACTAATGGAGCTGTTGAGAACACGTAGTGAAGGTTATGACTTTTCAGGATTTGGATGATTTACCATAATGTCTTCTTTGTACATAATATCGTGCTGGTAACCACCACTATTTACATAGCACAGGGAGGGTTACATGGGTCAGCGCTTCCCAGTGAAAGACCTTAACAGCCCAGCAGACCTGCTGTCTCAGTCCTGAGAAGACTCTACTGAGCCAATCACTAAGACTTAGGAGAACTTGGAATGACCACTGTCATTCATACACGAGTGAAGATACTTTCTCAACGACCAACGTATGAAATGAGATTGAACGCTGTGAAAGACAGTCATTAATACCTCTTAAAATGAAACCAAAACAAAAAAAAATGAACCCCCTCTTCCCTTCCAGCATACTCATCCCATCACTCTGGCCACTTCCTGCAGCTGTTCTGGAACTCTTTTGTGTATTTAGTTGTGTTGCTGTGGCTGTTCCCACACCCCGAATCAGTTCAAAACATCTGACACCCGTGGTCACTTCGACTTTGAGAGAGGCCCAGAAGCGCAGTGCCAGAAGATCCCATGAATTAAATGAATGAGGACACACTGTGACGCTCTTTTCTTTGGATGACACTTGACAACAGCCTTCACTGTATTTTTTATCACACCTTATCATCCCCACTCAGGAGGACTTCCAGAACTTCTGAAAGTGCCAAGTATGCTAAGTGTGTCTGAAATGTGTGTGGAGAGGCATTTGGAGCAAGGATAAGGTCATGCGTCTTTCACTATAACGCTTTCTAAAAATTTAAACATTCACTGTATTTGGATCACACCTTGTAGCTTAGCCTTCCCTGTACATCTCAATTACTTTTCTTCCCCGATGTTAAAGACTGATTACCTCGGAAAACTAAGCACAGTGTAAAGGTAAGCAGAGTTCCTAGGGCTGTACCCCACCTTCTGATAACAGGAGCAGAACAAAATGATCGGAATGGCCATAGCGTTCTGTTTTTTGGTACCGATTTTCCTTGTCTCTGATCATTTCAATCAGTCTTTTAAGCAAAAGCAAAAGTGACTCAGGGACTCACAGGATTAGTGGAATCATTTTATTAACAAAAGGAACCCACAGGGTTCAAACAAGAGTACAAAATACAATCTTTTTTCTTGTGGGTTAAACTGTTACATTTTTAACAAAAATAAAAAGAGCTCTCAGAGTTAACTTATCAAAAACATATTCCCTGCCTACTGAGTTTCTCATTGTGCAAAATGAAAACACCAAAAGTAAAATTTTACCCAGGGAATGAAGAGTTTGTGTGCCAAACTACGCACATTGTCAATTTCAAACTTTTTGCATCTAAAGGAAAATTCTAAGGCCACTTTTTTTCCCCAAACTAAACATGAGCAGGAGGAGAATAAACAGGAAAACAATAGCAGCTAATTTTTTTTTCTCATTCACATACTTTCTGTGTGCCAATGCAGTTCTCCAAATTCATAAAATGTTACCTAGAGTATAAAAAGGTACTCAGCTTCAACCTATTGATAAGGTCAGGCCTATGCATATCGAGTGATACCTTTGATCTATTCCCTTAAATGTCAGTTCTGCTGGGCAAGTTTCTTAATTTCTCCAATAAAGTAATCCTACTGAAGGATTCCTTTAAGTGGTTTCTTTTCTACATGAAGCAAATAATTAAAACTTTCTCTGTCCATACTGTTTAGTCCCCCCCCCCTTTGTTTTGGTTTCATGGACATGGATGATGTCTTTACATGGCATGAAAACTGTAGCTTTGAGGTCAGGAAATAGCTGAAGATGAGCTGTCTGGACAGAATTTAAATACACACATGTAGTAAAAGACATACAGAAGAAAAAAAAAAAAAAACCCAAACAGACAAAACAAGTAAAAGACCTTTAAAAACAAAAGCAAGGAATACATTTTGTGATGAATGTACACAATTACTGGGATAGCCACTATACACTGTGATTTTAAATGGTGGCTTATAATGAAAGCCTTGTATCTGATGTTTCACTGTTACAGAGATAAGTACATCCAGGGATTGAAAAGCGCACATGCACCTAATGCTTGTAGAAAACAACCCCTGATGAAATGGCCAACTGATTTTTAAATACAAAATTTAACTGTGTAAGAATTTTTCTATTTCTAAGTGAACACACTGACTCACAGTATCTGCCTGGGAAGCACCAGGGTTTCTGTATCAAACCCTTATGAATCAGCTGGTCCAAAATTTCTAGGATGGGAAGCCTTATCTCCTTTTCCCTTAGTATCCGGAAATGTTTGCAGCTCACGACACTAACGGATTAACAGAAAAGCCAATGAGCATGTGACGATGAACAGAGGACAGGGGACAGTACAAACACTGCTGAAACTTCGAGCAGCAACACAATCCTGTTGGTCTGAATATCCTGAGGTTAAAATGACAACAAAATATTGCACCAAAACAATAAAATCACAGTTTAAATATAATTAATAAAGAATTGGGATAACTATGTATTATGGACTGACTGCCATCAGTCTGCTTAAGCTTCTTGACAGGAAAGCAAATTTATGCCTTTTTTTTTTAAGTAGCATTTCTACCTTCTGCGTATACATGTATTTTGAAATGCCTTTAGGCATACATCTATTTCCATTTAATGCCAACCTTACAGATTTTTCCCTTGGTTTAATTTCAGATTAACTGATAATAAGACTGCTGCTATAAATAGCAGAAAATCTAAATAGGGTTCACCAGGTCTAGAGTTTTGAAAAAGCTATCTGATAACCCCGTAAGAGGTAGGTTAAGATAATGCCTTTTTGTGACTGTGTGGTTATCAAGGCACCCTAAAGATATAACCATTTCTTCCCTCTTCCTTTTTCTGCTGTGCCCTTAGGTAGTTAAGACATGAGGACAGCCAAACATACACCCCGCTTAAGTACTTAGAAGTGGCAAAAAGTATAGCTTTCAACAGAACACATTTTCGTGTTAAAATTTATCTTTCCCATTTGAAGTGGCAAGCTTTACAAGAAAGCTTTTGCAGGTTTCCTAACACTGCAGAGCCAATTTTGAAAGTATATTTTAACCTATTATGCAAAGAGTGGAAACTATTCCCCGTTTAGGATTTTATGTGACCAAGATCTTAAGACAGGGGACTTGCCAGACCCTTGATCTTTGATACGACCATAAGACAGGGAGTCACGAAGACCCCGGACCCTGAAGATCTCACTGAGAATTTAGAGTAGGCCACTTTCGTGCACAGGCCTATGAGCCTACACTCTCAGAACCAAGTCTGCCAAGCAAATTCACATTGCCGTGAGTTCAGCACACATTTGCTTCTCTTTGCAAAGCCTTCTGAGAGGCTTCCTTGCTCTGGTTTCCACTCCACGGAATCCCTCCTCTCCGAGCAGCAGGCCTCCCTCACTTCCTCTGCCTCCACCAGCACTTCCGCTTCCCCTTCACCACTCACAGCGCCGTCCCATTCTCAAAGGCAGCAGAGGCCAGCATAGAATCCTGCGCAACCATTGTCTTGGCCCAATAGAAAGTTTTAGTTATCTTTAAACTTTGTTATCGCCAGTCTTGATGTTCATGGATGTCTTAACTTAATCGTTCTGCACTCTCCCCCAAAAAGGCAGGGGGGAAAGAACCAGCATTCCAATTTGATGATGCACACAGTGATTTCTGAAATACATTCATTCAGAGAATGAAGGAAACAGGCTGGGTATCCTCTACATCAGTAGGATGTGGGTCAACCTGCGAAAAAGAAGGCTGAGATTAGATTACTGCTGTGGCATTTGCTGAATGACTCTGCTGCCTCCTTGTTGCTCAGAGTCTAGTGTCTGTTAGCAAGTCCCAGGAGGCTGTGAAGTATTGCAAGGCCGCACAGAACATCTTAAAGGCAATCATGACACTGTGTATGCTACTGCTCACAAGGAAGACACCAGCAAGCAAGCTACAAGGGTCCGTGACAGTCTATCGCCACTGTGAAAGCAAATTTGTAATTTTTAATAATTATGAGTCAGCAACAGACACTTTAAATGAGTGGAAGATGACAAATAACTACTGGAAAATAGCAAAATAAAAGTGTAATTTGCTTTGGCTTTGTTTACCTCTGAGTAAAGAGGGGGAGGCTGAAACCGGAACTCTTGTATGCAGGCGAACATCGGGTAGCACGTTTCTCCCTCACAGTCTGGGGGCTGAGGGTAAGGAGGAACGTGTCTAGAGAATTCTTCCTCTGACACCACATCGGCGTAATTTGGTGGTGCTGAAACAGAGATGGAGACGCAGCTGAGAAATTCTCACAAAACCTGATTTTTTATGAACACTTTCAAAAATGAGAAATTTAGCTAAACTGAAGATAAAAATAAGGCATTTTCTCTCTAGTTGGTAAGATTTTATGTCCATTTCTGCAAAAACAGTTTTGCTCTTGCTTTTCTTAAACTATGGCTAACACTGACTGAGGAGTGTGTTTCAGCTAGGCAAGCAATTATCACTGAAATACGGCCACAGAAAATACGCAGTACTCTATACTTTCGTTTTGCCTCTTTCTGATACTTTTACTATTACAAATCGGCACTAGGAGACTTTACTCTTGAGTCTGCCACCAAACATCCTCGTGGCCCAGGTGAGTTACATTTTCGATGTTGTTTGCATGATTTTATTCATAGGCTAACTGTACCAGATTCACGTCTGAGCGCTCACTGTCTTCTAGTCCTGTCCTTAGCTCCTTCCTGCACAAAACTCCATAGGAAAGGACTCCAAGCTATTTACCTTCAGGCTGCTCTGGCAAGGTCAGCGTCAGCCAGCTCATGTCCATGCTGAACTGGCTGGCAATGCTGGAGTTTCTGCTGCCAAAGCCATGGTATGGAATGGTGCCAATGACCAAGGGCAGCTCGAGCATCAGTCTTTTAGCACCAGGAATGTGAATGTACACCTGCCGCGTCAGGGAGAGGACAAAGGCACAGAGTGAGTTCAGCCACGCAGGCGACTGCCCTGTTAGTGTCCTTTTTCAGCAAGGAATGAATTCCTTTGTTCACTACCACCCTGCTCCGCTTACACATGCAGACATCCTGACCAATCAAAATGAAAAAATGAAATGAAGGGTACAAAAAATACAGCGAACACTGTGTGACAGGCATCCGTGGGCTTCACATCTGTCAGTCTAAGCTGGCACTGCGCACCATGCCACAAAGCCAAGTGCATGGCTTCCATGTGACAGACACCCCAAAACATACCACAATCCCTTTATGCTGCTCTATTTCATTCCACAGGAGACAAAGAGAGTTTTAGTAAACGCAGAGGCCAGCATTGATAGAGTCCACAATTGGCAGTAATGGTGACACAGAATGACAATTTCCTACCTATCAACTCCGAAACTCACAGCAACGTGCCTCAAGTCACTACTACAGTCTATAGATTTTTACTTTTAAAAAGAGCTTGCTTACCGCTAAGGAATAGTCTACTCTGATAATGCAGCAGTCCAGGATGGAAGGAGTGACGGGCGGGATTTTTAAAGTCTTCCCATTCCACACGTCAGTGCTCCCCGAAGCGATGTGGTTCCCTCGCACGTTAGCGACCATGTGCCGGAAGGTCTTTGTTTTTCCACTTGCCAAGTACGTCTGGGTTTGGAAAATCGCCGCTTTGGGGACGATCAGCCGAGAGGAACAATTTTCTATTTCTGCATAAATAGGAATAGCTTCTCCTAGAAAGAAAACAAGAACAGGATAGATTCAGAAACTTTTCAAAAGACTTTTACCAAAATGGAGTAAGGTCATTACCAATTAAAGCTGAAATGTTGCTCTATTACTTCAATGAATTGAGAAGCCCTGATGGAAACTGAATATTAAAATACCCAGTGAGATAAATGAAAACTCAGTGTAATTTGTAGTGGGTACTATTTTCTAATGTTGAATTACTTATCTTTGTACTGTAGCAATATTACATTTACAATTCTAAAGACATACAAATGATCAGTATGCATATAAATTAAGGTAGGGCTTATAAATAAATGATTCAGCCCTACATGTTAAATAAACAGCATTAGCAAACTCACCTATCAGATCAAAATCTGCCTAACAGCAGAGCAAAGCTTTTGCTTTTCAGGAATTACAGCTGAGGTGCATATCAAACAATAGTTGGGATATACAAATTTTATAACACTCCCTCAGACTATTTCCTCTCACATTCATTTCCAGCAAGGCAGTGCCTGCGAGTGGGACCAAAGCCACTCCAGGAATTGGGTCATCCATACACGGGATTTTAACTTCAACATGCTCGGAGTTGGTAATCTTTTGTATTGTAAGTCTGTACATTTCTATATTTAGGCCAACATGGAATCAGAGTGCTAACAGTATTTTCCCACCACAGTTGTCTTCTAGAGGCTCTAAGTCTAGCCATTCTTTCGCAACATTGAGCAGGTACTGTATTTCCACCTCCTCTGATTTTATCTTTGTTCCTAAAATAATACCAAAAGTCTGACTGGAACTTATTCATCAACTTAAAACATGTAAATATCAATTATTTACATTAAAACTGGAATTTCATTATTCATGTTTTAAAATAGGCTATATTGTATAAACTACAAAACACACTATTTAAAATTGCTGAAAATTAGCCAGAAAATAGAAATGAATCTTCACTTGGACTTTCAAACGAGTTGCTCACCGTTACAGTATCCCTTTCTTTCAATTTTGGCACTCAGCGAGACTGGTCCAGAAGTGAAAAACCAACAGCCAACCATTTTTTCTTGAGTTTTCAATACAGGGGTCTTGAAAAATTGAAATAAAATAACTTTAATTAAACCATTCTAGAGAATCAAAGAGCTTAAGAATTACATCTCTTATCATCCAATAGCTGTACAGGAATTACTGTCATATTTCCATGTGACATATCAGGCAAGGCACGTACTGCAAACACGAAGTGCTGAAATGAATTTCTTTAGGGAAACCAGGGTGAAGGTTCAGATTTAACTGGGTACAATACCAACCTATTTACCCTAGAGTTACTGTACTTCTAGGAAAGGACATACTATCCCTTTTAAAAAGCACTACATAAAAACATGTCAGAATTTTTAAAAACCTTATATACAGATCAGGTGAAGAGAGAAATAACATAAAATCAATAATCAGAATATCCTACTTATTTTTGCACTTCCCATATGCAATAAGCAAATAGCCATTTTTACAAATCTCACTACACATTTCAAGCAGTCATGGAATGGTTCGGAGACTTTGCATAATAATGCAACATCATATTCATTATTAACAGATCTGTGAGGACACTAAATACATTATACCTCACTCTAGTGTCTTACTATATTAAATATCAAGAAAAATGACACAGGTTTAAGAGGTTCAGTTTACTAGCTGCATGCAACAAAACTTTCTAGAAAAAGTACAAATACATACAATTTATTTTTTCTTTATGGAAAGAACAGTAAAGAGTAACTAGAATTTCTTCTTGGTCAAAACAAAATCCTTTTAAGTAATTTGCCACCAAGATTATGAAGACTTCAGAAATATTTAATCTTGCAATTCCAAGTAGAGTTTTAAAACACCAGACATTTAGCATCATCCTCTGTCAAGAAGGGTTTTAAGGAGGCTTTAAAGCTCCAGCTACAGACCAGTGAGCTGGTGCTGACTATTTCATAATTTTGGGCCACAAGAAACTATGCAACCATAGCAGATTTGTTATCTTTTATGCAGAGGTGAACATTACAGTAAATTCTCTCTTTTTTTAATGTGAAAATAGGAGTTAAACAACTTCTAACTGTAGGCTTTTTTCCTTGTCTTTAAACACACTGCTAGAAAAAAGAATAGATCTTTGTCGCGTGAGTGTCATGATGGGAAGTTTAAATGATCTAAGTATTTTCTATGAAGTAAAAAAATCATTCATTCATATTTAAATGAAGAACCATTAGGTCCTCACAGCTATCATGAAAGCACAAGGTATAATTTTATATTATTTTGATAATATGGGTTTAGATAAAAGAATCCAGCTCATTAGCTCCCATCTTGCCTATTCTGTTGTTACTTATAGCCCGATCTTTCTTATCAGCCTACAGTATTTCTGGTGATGATTAGAAGTTCAATGCTTTCATGTGGCCAAATCTGTCATAAGGAAATGATAAGTGAAAGGATCTCGGCGGCAGCTGCGTGTACTTACTTAATGTTAGAAAATGACATGCAGAATGGAAGGATACATAGCATAATGGCCCGAGCCTCAATAACAGGCTGAGCATGATTAATACTCTTCCATAATTACTGCTCCTCAACCTGCTATTATTGAGGGGTTTAGAATACCACGGTCCTGTGAATGTGGCCACTCTGGTAAAGTAACTACTGTCTGTGTGGGCATTATTGTTATTAAGCCTTATTAATGCATTTCAAGCCTGTGTAACTTTTTGGCAAAGGCAGCCCTGAACGGCAGGGACATAATCAACAGTATTAACACACACAATTTGTAATTTGGCCAACCTAGAATCACATATTTATAGTGAATGCCTATGGGTTACAAGATTGTATTTTTCAAAGCCATCAAAAAGCGACAGGGCAGACTGCCCCTAAACTTGCTAAGTATAGACATTACTAGTGAAAGCAGGAGGAAGGGAATGAGACAAGAGACGGAGCAGGAAGAACAAAAGGAGGAACTTACCAGTAATGCAGGTGTGTTGACATCGATGTGACTGACAACCTGGAGCTCCCGTTTAACACTCTGGTCAGGGACCCTGGGGCGTTCTAAAACTGCCCTCACACAGTACTGAATCCTTCCGTATTTCCCTGTAAAGGAGGTCACCAAAGGTCTGGAACAAACAAGAGACATTCATTTATGAGTGCATTTCCCAACAAAGCCAAAAAAGCCTGGTTTAAAAGGTGGGCTTAGGTTGAAAACACAAGAGGAAGCAGGCATGTCTGTAGTGGCAGCTATTCAGAATCAAAGTGCGGACTTCACAGGCAGAAGATAATTGAGGGAAAGAAAGTCACAAAACCGTAGAGCTGCACTTACTCAGAAGGAAGTTGGAAGCGAAATGGAAATTCATGTTTTCCAGGTTGCAATAAAACGACTCCTTCACCTATAAAAGAGATTTTTTTTATTGTGACTTTGTGACTAAGGTTAGTAGTAGCATCAAAACTTTTCATAACCTAAGTCCTATTTTTAAAGGAGGTTTTCAGGGCTATAAAATGCAGTATACTTCAAAAATTCACTAAATACATGTATAGTACTGAGTAAGAAACTTTTTTACATATGTATATGTACACACACACACGCACACACACACACACACACACACACACAAATGACCAATTATGCAAGTACTATCATAAAGTACTAGACCCCAGGGCACCAACACACATAGACAATACATGTGTGGAAATCTGTATATATGCACATATAAAACAAATTGTTTATACCCCATTCTATTATACTAAAAGGCTTGGAAACATTAAATTGAATGAAAACTAATTTAGCAACAGAAATTTATTTTGGATGTACCATAAAACCTTACTATGTATTTTTGGGCAAAAAAATTGTAATTATTAACAGTGGGTATAATACAAAACAGCCAAACCAACAAGACAAGCTATTAAACAAGAGTCAGGTATCTATCCTTGAGTTTTACCAAGTTTAACAGGATTGCGGGGAGGGGAAGTCAGTTTGGGATTCACCAAGCAAGATCTTGACCTCTCCTGTGCTCTGGGATGCCATCTTGGCTTTATTTCATGTACAGGCTTAACATTGACTGTAAGAAGGCCTAACGGAGGGTGTGGATGGACTCTGTAAGATCAGGGGAACTAGAACCTCTGATGAATGTACCCAAACACTTTGTTTAGCTCAGATCCAAAGTAGACACAGTGCTTCCCACACTGGTCAGGTGGCTCCTGAAATATTTATAAATTTGTCCTGTGTTTCATCCTTAGACTTAAGACTACCATCTCTTTCTTGTGAGATTTTTCTTGGAGATTTGCCTGGTTACCAGACACTAAAGGAAGGTTTCTGTTTTATCCATTACAAAACAAAACAAAACAAAACAAAACAAAACCCCAAAAAACAAAACAAAACCAAACCCTGAGTATCCAGGAAGATAGGGTGTGCCTGGCACCTTGAGCACCTGTGCACTATAACAGGGCTGAACGGGAAGGGGCTTAGATGAAATGACCAGCATGAGGAAGCATTGTTAGGCCTGTTGAGAATAACACTGTCCCAGATTACTAAGAGGGACAGAACTAGAAAAAAGATGAAGTTCCCCTTTCACGCAGAAAACAAGCGAGCACAGGAGTTATATCACTTAAAATGGGACCTTCAACTATGCTGAATTATGAAACAAAACAATTTGAGCTAACTGATAAACATGGGTTTTAACATCTGGAATAAAAATTAAATTGTTTTCAATTACAAACGTTCACAAGCCGGACCTTCTACCCATTTGGGTCTCTGTTCCCAGGGCTTGTTACTTCTGTCTTGCACAGAGAACTACAATGTAAGAGTGAGACCTTTCATTTGCTGATGGTCTTACGCCAAAGCTCTAATTAAAGGTTTTCAAGAGCCCTGGGATCCACCAGACTATTTCAGAGACAAAGGTGGGCTGGGAAGAGTGACGGGGTAAGGGACTGGCCTAAGGTCACAGGGCTAGTGTTGCCCCAGAACCAAAACCAACTCTCTGGTTCTGTACTGTGTTTGTGTCACAATTCCTCAATAAAAATATGAAGAGTATCAGTCACAATGATAGTGTTTTTAGATTGACAATTCCAAAGTACTACTGAGGGACAGGATTATATTTCTCAGAAATCTAGCATTCTAAAACTCTTTAGATGATTAAAAGACAGCCCAGTTTTAGAATTAAATGATCCCGAGAATCTATAACTGTGTGAAGAGGCTTACTTTTTCTGAACTTCAGAATCAGAGGTGATTGCCTCTCAGCTAAAAGTGACCATGATTTCAAGTAAAATATGTTGATAGTATTTGTTATGACATATTCCAAAACAAGTTGAGATTTTCAAATTGTGCTTGTTTAGATGCTGTATTCCATTAGAATCAAGAAACAAGTCCATTCCATTAGAATGAAGAATGATTCACAAGTCCTGGCTTGTGAATCAAGCTGATACCTGTAATTTTACCAATGGCAGACCTTACCAAAGTGATTTTCATTTTGAATCCCATGTTCAGCTGTTTTCCTGTTTTATCTTTTTACTCAGTAGTTATGGGCTCAAGAAGTCTAGTTAGACAAAAACCGTTTGCCTCTCTTTTCCATGGCCCTTTCCTCCAGGGAGCCTTCTAGAAAATTCATGTCTGTGACCACTGGGGAGGCCACTGGGTGATCCTGAAAATTCTTCTGATGGAGGAGTATGAAGGGTAGCAAGAATTGTCATTTACCACACTGTTCTTGTTCAATCAAAATAGAAATTTGGTTCTAAATATTGTTTGTCTCCTTGTGTTTTGGGGATCACTGAGATTATCACATATTTGGAGGATTTGGACAGTCTGTTTCTCCACAGTAGGAAAAGATACAACCACATTCTACTTCATGTAAATTACAGCAAGGTTTTACATATCTACATACCATGCATTTTATTTTTCAAATTTAATAGCTGAAAGTTGATGAGGCAGAAAGGTAAAACAGTGTAACCCCTGGCTGAGAGAGAACTAAGAATCATTGGTCTTAGTGATTTCATTATTTTCACGATTATCAAAGAAATCGATTTTTTTATGTAGTATTAAGTCAATATCCACATAGTTGGTCCCAGCTTGGTTACTTTCCAGAAAAGTCTACACTAGGAACAAACACCAAGGTGAACAAGGAGTAATTGGAAGTGCTCGCATAGCTTTGTCTCCACAGGCCTTTTGGAAAACCAAGAGGAAGGAGGAAAAAGATGCAAAAGAGAACCAGACAGTAATATTAGATGTGGCAGAACTGGTGATAAAGCTCCCCTGCTTCCCAGAGGAGGGAACCCAGGTTAAAATCTAAGGACCCTTCCTTTGAACAATCCAGTCCAGAACTACTTCCCTCTTCCTAAGAACGACTTTCTGCCAATTCATCGCGAAGGAAGAGAGAAGCCTGATTGTGTAGCTCTGGGATGGGAGGGGTGGCGGCCTATGTAACAGTCAGCATCCCTGGTTCCACCCTCCACGCTTTAGACTAGAAGTGACTAGATCTCTGGGTCCCTAAACTCCCAATCCTATGTTTCCATGACAACCGCCCAGCTCGTTCCAGATCCTGGGATGCCCAGTGCTTCTCTGCCTCCGCAAGCCCGGGCTGGGTGCCAGTTTAAGCAGCTCACCAGCGGGGAGCCTGGGCTCTTCAGCCATCCCGGGGCGTCCCTGCCCGGCGCACCCCACCCTCTCGGACCCTCCCGATGCCCCGGGCCCCGGTGCTCACCGGCCGCGGGCTCGCGCAGGCTCAGGCGCACGTTCAGGTACTCCACCTGCGAGGCGGCGGCAGTGGCCCGGCCTTGGGCCTCCAGGCGCAGCGCGCGCAGGGCCACCGGCTCACAGGCCTCCAGCAGCACGTGCCCGGCCACCGTCTCGCCGCTGGAGTAGCAGCCCTTGCGCTCGTCCTCGAACACCAGCCCCAGGCTCTTCACGCGGCCCTCGCACCCCACGGCTGTCCTGGACCCCGCCTCTCCGCCCATCCTGAGAGGCGACGCGGCTTCGCCACCGAGGTCGGTAGCGGCCCGGAGCCGGGGTCGTGAGTCCAGCGGCGCCGCTGTCACGGGCGCCTGCCGCACGCGGAGGGCCGCAGCGCCGGTGGTGCGGTGCGGCACGAAGCACGGGCGCGCAGCGTAAGCTGTCCCTTTAACAAACCTCACCCGGGCTGGAAAGGGGCTGGGACAGCCCACCCCCAGCGCGCGGCCATAAGTCAGCAGGGAAACCTGCTGCTTTCCGATTGGTTGTGTGTGACCACTGAGTCATTTCATTGGCGCCCCCTCCACACACACTTACACGCGCTGGCGCAGGAAGGCAGTGCGTGATCAAGGAGTGCTGACCAATCCGGGGACGCAGCAGTGCACGTGCACAGGCCATTTATTGGCTGGAGCAAGGCACCCTCCGGGGCACAGACCAATAGTGAAGCGATGCGCCCACGTGGACAGACTGTGGGAAACAATATCTGTCAGGGAGGGGTGTGTAACAGGGTGGATCTCTCTCAGCGTGCTGGCCACTCCCTGGGTTACAAACTGGGGCGGGGATTCCCAGCTTTCAGAAGACTGTAGCAGGAATCCCTGGCTTCTCAGTAGAACTTGGAGTTGTTGAGGCAAGTGGTGGGCATTTCAAATAATATCTGCAGTAATGGAGAGGAAGTAGATTCTTTGGAAAAGCGAACTCAGAAATGTATACCTGTGAACCTGGGAGCTGGCTGCTTTGGAACTTTAATGGGTCTCTTGGAATCTTCTAGCCTCCCAAATTTCTGAGTTCCCCCTTTCCTAGCTTTCAAAATTCCTGTACTAGGTAAGAGCTGAAGACTAGACTGAAAGCTGTCTTTCTAAGTCTGATAGCCCTGTAGACTTCTCTCAGGATATCTAAGGTGGAAGTAGCTAAAATGCCAATTCTCCCCTCTTGAAATGAGGTCATGAATTCGGTTGTTTTAAAACAATAACGGCCATCCCTGTTGTTGCCAATGACAGGATTTCTTTCTTTCTTTCTTTCTTTCTTTCTTTTTGACTGAGTAGTATTTCATGTAATCATTATGGATTGTAAACATGTTTGGAATTATTGTACCCAATGAACGTGAACACATATGTCTCCAAAAAGAGACATAAAGCATCTATCACTCAGGATTCTGCCCCACCCAAACTTATTTCCTGACCTCAGTATCATAGTCCCTGACAATTACCAGGTTCTTTGATGACTTATATTCCACACCCACAGCATTTCTTCCCTGTACTAGGTTTCACATTTTCCCCTAATCTTTCATTCCATCACCCTTGTACATTTATTTTACATCTAATATAGGTGTTACTATCTGGCTATGACTTTCTAACGTTTTAAGTCTTCCATGTATCACAATTCCAAATTTCCGATCTGTTATGATGGATTGATTAGTCACAAACAGAGTTAAAAAGTTTTTCACATGTAGATTTTTTTAAAGATCTCAAAGAAATGTTACTTTTCTTGGAGTGTAGATTATTACTGTGGAATTTTAATAAGGCTTCAGTGTTCAAATTCAAAGCTTCCTTGGGACATCTCAGAATGGAAAGGACCACAAATGTAGCTCTACATAAAATGACACTCAATTTTCTGATCCTGTTATTAAAGAAGTCTCCAGTATGTTCTTCCTGGGCCTATTTTCTCTCATGACAACTTGGTCTTATGTGTTTATATGCATCTTATGTGTTTACTTGCATCTAGGTGATTTCACCCTGGGAAAAACAAATCTTATTAATTTACTTTTTATCTCCAGTATAAAACATACGGCTTAGTATACAATAAGAACTCAGTAAATGTGTGTTGACTCTGAATAAAGAATCCCAAGCCACGTGGTGTTATTGGTTCTGCAGTAGAGGAGCAGTACTCTTGAGTCTTAATATAGTTGCATTGTTTCCCGGAAGATACTCTTCAACCCACACACCTCAAAGTTAAGTGCCTGGGAAAGACAAAAAGGACCATGATCGCAATAGAATAATAAAAAGATAGAAATGCAGACATGGCATTCTGTGCTTTGTTTATTTGTCAGTTAATACTTTTGACTACAGGCAACAGAATCTGTGATCAATTGTAATTTAAATGATATGTTTCTTGTTTACTTTAGGAGAAGTTCAGTAGTGAGCACACCCAAGGATGGTTCATCAGACTTGAAATCGTTCTTCTCTGGAGTTCTAGCTCCCTTCCTGGCAGTAATGATGACTACAAGTCTAAATATGACTTCCTCAGAAGTTCCAGACATGAAGCAAAGACATATCTGTAGACAAAAGAAAAAAATCTCTCTTCTGGGAGAGAAAAACATATTTCCCTGATGTTCCCATTTCTTTCATGTTATTGGCTAAATCTGAGTTATATGTGCACTAGTAGGTCATTAAATAGCAATTCCTTTATACCAGTGATTTCTTCTCTGGGCGTTGACCAGAAAGTGGGGCAGATGGCTTTCCAGTAGGCAAGAGGTAGAGCCTTTGGAGAGGCTTCAGCAAGTCTGGCCAGGTTTGCCTCAGAGAGGAGATGTCTCTATCAGGCATTAAAAAGTATGGTTCAATAATCCAAAAATATTTTACAACTTGAAAGAAAGCAATCTACATGGAGACCCACCATACTCAGATAAAATTCCACTTGTATGTGCATATTTAAGATGAGCTAATGTTAGTATGGTAGCACAGAAGAGTTATTCATAAAAGTTCAGTCTGACAATCCCTGTGTTTGAATTGTTGTGCTTAGACCATTTGCATACAATGTAGTTTTTAGTAAGGTTGGGGTTGGGACCTGATTACTTTGTGTCCCCCTAGAATTTATATATTGAAATCTTAACATCCCAAGCAATGGTGTTAGGTGGTGAGGGCTTTGGGGTGAATTAGATCCTAAGGGCAGAAACATCGTGAATGGGATTAATGCCCTTAAGAAAGAGGCCTTGGAGGGACCTCTTGCGCCATCCACTATGTGAGGACACAGAAGGTCCTATCTATGAAGAGGGCTGATACTAGACTCCAAATCTTCTGGTGCCTTCATCCTGGGCTTCCCAGCTTCGAGAGCTTTGAAAAAGCAGTTTTGTTTATGGCATTTTATTATGGCAGCTCAAGTAGATTTATAAAAAGACTTTTTACTGACTTTGATTATACTTTGTGTACATTTCTCTGATCTCCCTTTCTTGACTTCATTTTGATTATTTATGCATCTTTTAGTAATCTAGTTAGATTTATTTCTTTTATTATGAATATTCATTTATATGTTTTCTGTGGTCAGTTGAAAAAATTATTAACCACAATAATTTTATGTAATAATTGTCATGTTTGTTATGTTTGCAAACATTCAGCACTCCACTGGAAAATATTTATGTGTTTGCTTTCAATAGTTATATGTATTTGAACTCAAGAGAAATACAATCCACTATAATTATCAAGATATTTATGATTTCTATGCTGTTTATTCCTGAAGCTCAAGTTTCCTTCATGGTAACATTTCAGTTGGGAGAATTTCCTTTACTATTTGTCTTAGAGAAAATCTGCTGGTAAGAATAAATTCACTTAGTTTTCCATTATATAAGAATGTTTTTATTTTGCCACTATTAATGTTGGTTATTTTTACTGGATATAGAATTTTAAGTCAGCAGTTCTTTACCCTTTTATGGACGTGATCACATTGTCTTTTGAGAACCTTGATATTTGTTAAGAATTCAATAATCCTTGAAATTGTTTTTCTCTCTATAGAATGAAGTCTTTTTCTATCTATTTTCAAGAATTTTTTTCAACTTTAGTTTGAAGCAGCTTAATTATAATGTTGATGGGTTTAGTTTTCTTTGAATTTATTCTTTGTGAGTTTTTCTTCATTTCTTCCACATGTAAAATAATGTCTTTTAACAAGTTTGTGTTTTCTGTAAATATATCTTCAACATTTTTTTCTATATTGTATTATTTCTCCTTTCTTTTTGGAGCTGGAATGCCAGAATACTAGATCTTTTCATAATTTTCCCTGAGACTGATTTTTTTCCAACATATTTTTTCTCTTTTATAGAAACTGGAAAACTTCTCTTGATCTATATTCAAATTCACAGACTCTTTTTGACCACTTTTATTGTATTATTGAGACCACTGAGTAGAAATTTATTGCAGATATCTTATTTTCAGTTCCAATCCCTTTTAGATTCATTTTTATGGCTAAAATAGTTTTCTTTCCATTCATTTCAAAACTGCCTATATCTCAATAAGTATAGCCTTAAGAGGTCTTTTAAGGCCTTTGAAAGAATTTCGGTGTCTCAGTTACCTTGAGGTTGACATCCAATTGTTTATTTCCCTGGAGAATTGTGTGTGTGTGTGTGTGTGTGTGTGTGTGTCACACTATTTATTTTAAAGGCTGAATAATTTTAAATTACATCCTGAACAGTTTGAGTATTTTGAGCTGTTTTCCTGTTGAAAGCTTCTGGAAATTGCCAGCTCTTTTCTTTCCACAGGCGCTGAACTTGGCATATTCAGACTGCAGGTTTTGTCTGACTGTGGCTGGGTTCAGTGTCAAAGTCTCAGTACCTTTGTTCTCCTGGTGCCCATCTGTCCCACACATAGTCTGGGGCTTGGGTGAGTCCATACTCAGAATTAAGGGAGCCTGTTTTTCATTTCTTCACTCTATGATATTTCCTCCACTCCCTGTGGCTCCCCAGAACCCCTTTAACTGTCCTCTAGATAGAAATTTGGTGTATCTATAGGTGTTTTAGGCATATATGCAACTGAGGGGTTTCATGTCATTTGGTAGAGCAGTGAGGGAAAGCAATAATGGGGATTCCCTTCATGTTCTAGCACTTTCGATGATACAGACAGCTCGCTGCAGGACGCTGTCCATACATTTGCCACCAATGCTCTGGATCTCATTTTCTTTAGCAAAAAAGACACATTTTCTCTTTGGTTTTAGGTACAACCATTGTCATTGAAAAATAGTTCGAGGATTGGAGCTAGAGAGAGAGTCAGAAAGATAGAGACAGACAGACAGACAGACACAGACACAGATACAGACAGACAAATTTTCATTGAGAAAATCTTTAAATAATGCAAAGGGGATTCTTTTTTCACTCAACTATGTGAGAGACTTAGTAACTTCCTTTCCATCTGATGACTATTACTGTATTTCAAACGGGTGATGAAGGTTACCATTATTGATAAGTTTTATCAATAGAATTTGCCTCCAAAATAATGTGTTATTCTTTCCTGAAATCCATAACTCCAGGGGAAAATGAGGAAAACCTCCAGCAAATCTAACCTAAAAGATTTTTTACAAAATACTCAAGAATCATTCCTCAAAACTCTGAAGGCCATGAAAACCAAGGAAAGACTGATAAACTATCACAGATCAGAGACATCTAACCAGACATGATGATTAAATATGATATTGTGAATCAGAGAAACACTATCAAATGAAAAAAACAACAGTCAACCAAAATGCGATCTGGGTTTTAGTTAATAATAGTGTACCAGCTGGGTGCGGTTAGTTTCCTCAAAAGAACCTGCAAATACAAGATGGTAACGTTACAAGTGAGGGACTACGAGTGAGGACATTGGACGTACAGTATGCAGGATCACTCATACATCTTTGTAGCTAATCATTTGACATAAAATTATTCCGAACTAAAATTTTATTAACAAATACAGAATTGTTTCAAAATTTTACAAATACTCATTTCCCTGGGTATTTGACTTAAAGATGGATTTTTTTCCTTGAGTTTTTGATTCTTGTGGTCTTGGGTAGCTCAAGGCCAGGAGATAAAAGAGATAAAAGAGAAAAGTCTCCACAGTACTCAGTCTTGTTAGAATTGTTCTTCAATTTTTTTTTACCTCTTTCCACAAATCACCTGCTCTTGCTAATGCTCAGATAGTTGCTGTTATTATTTTGAGAGATTTGGATATGACCTCTGATTGTCCACTAGTAGAAATCCTAATTTATCTTTCCTAATATTTCAGATCTCAAAAATGTAATGAAATTGCTGCATAAGTACCTAAAACTCACTATATTTTTATATTACACATATACTCATCTTGTTATTGCCTAGGCATTCTTTATTTTAGGAATTTAATTTGTATTTGTGCATATCTATGATTTAACTGAGAGACTATACCTATATACTTGCTAATATTTAAAATTCATTTATGGTCCTAATTCTCGTTTTACAGTTTTATAATCACAAATAAAATTCACCAAAATAATACCTTTAGAAAGAAAGCAGCACTCCCCTTTATCAAACATGTACTGTAGCCCAGGCCAGTTGTTTAGTCTCCATCCAACTCCCAAGAAGCCTGTGGAAGGGCGTCCTGAGATACAGAAGTCCAAGGTTACACACGAAGAGTCCACGGTGTGCCTAGATGGACCGCATACTTTGCTTCGTATTATATATCTAAGCTGTGGTGTGGCCCAGATGAAAGTTTCATACCCTCTTCTTGGTCTGTACTGCCTCTGAGGTTGAAGGGGAAAGAATAAGAATGAACTGATTTTAATTCCTGGAAAGAATAACCAATTGCCCTAGGGTTTCCATATGTATGCCTCATTGACCCTGGGGTGATGCAGTCTGGGTTAGTAACCAGTGAATGGAAGTAGTCCTGTATGAGAATATCCGCGTGCCTAAATTTACTCTCCACATCTTCCAAAAGTGGTTTGTGGCAGCTGAAGAGGAAATAACTTAAATGTGCTGCTTCTTTTTTTTTCTTTTTTCTTTTTGGGTTGGGATTTGGAAGGAAACAAGAAAACATAGGAAAGATGTCTAGGTTTGAGGAAATGAGATGAGCAGTGAACCTACCACCCAAATTGCCAAACACTAGGCAATTTTTGTTTGATTTTCCATTTCGATGGTGGGACAGGGAATAATATAAGGACACAGGATTCTTTTGCTAGCAATGTTCTGATTGGTAGAAAAGGTCCAAGCTTCTTATTTCATGGTTTACACATAAGTAATGTAATTGTACAATTATAATAAATAGGCAGAGAGAGAAAAGAGTTTCTGTGAATGAATTAATAGATTACGTTGCCATAACTGCACTGAGCAAGCAAACATGAAACTAAGAGAGGTAAGGTAAGTGACAAGGGTCTTAAATATAATTAGATCTATAGTGAATATCAAATCAATGAGAAAAGTTCATGTGTGGCCAAACCTTATTTGTTCCACATGATTGCTTCTTAATATCCCTCTGAGGGTCCATTTCAATTGAAATTTCCAGGTGATAACTGACTCAGGAAAAACTCTCCTTGCAAGTATTAGTATCACAAAAATTTCTGATTGAATTAAGGAATAAAATTATCAAAACAATGATAGAGATTATCGCAATTTTAAAATCTTGAAGGGAGGTCCAGAGATTGCAAACCTGGGGACCTGATAGGCAGACACATGACAAAGAGCAGATGAACATGTGATTTGATACCATTCAAACCATTCCACACCAGTTCTGAAGTAATGGTTGGTTTTGGTTGTTCTGAAGTAATAGCCATTGTTCTTAGCTTAGTGAATGCATTTACAGACACATGTGCATTTAGGAACTTATAGTTGTGTGTTTTTATGTATTATATCAGATACATCCTACATTGTTTTATGTATTTGTTTTTAACACACACATTTAGTGCCATACTCATGTTCTGCACTTTACTTTTCTTTACTTCAAACTATGTAGGGCTTTCTATCAGTATATAAAAATCAGCCTCATAGCTTTTAAGAGTAACACAGGGGGGCCAGGGTTATAGCTCAATGGCACAGTGCCTACCTGGAAAGTGTGTGGTCTTGAGTTCGATTCCCAGTACAACCCCCAAAAAAGTAACATAGTTTTATACTCTATAACCACACTATTATTCATAAAATCATAGTCTCACTGATAGTGATTTATATTTAGATTTGGGCATAATACTGCCACTACTACTTCTGCTGATAACAACAACAATAATAAATATTAAACACTCTTATGTAAGCCTGTTTGTATATACTTATGATTGTTTCCCCTAGATGGGGAAACTGAGCATAATTGCAAGGTCAGAGGATATACCAGTTTTACTATTAATAGGCTGTTGTCATGGTTTATCTTTGTGTCCCCCAGGCCTCATGACTTTGCATTGTTCATTTGTGATGGTTCATTGTCTAGTGCTTGGATTGATGGTGTCAGTGCTCCACCCACATAGGGGTGGAGCCAGGATGTGATGTAATGGCAGGAAGAAGGTGTGTCTCTCTTTTTGCTGGTTCGGGCTCGCTGTGGGCTGCCGCCATGAACTGCGGTCCAGCCATGCCCGCCTGTCTTGGAGCCAACTGAGTGTGGGCTGAAACCTCCAAAAACTGTAAGAAATAAACCTTTCCTTTCCCCAGTTTGGACTTCAGGTATTTTGTCTCAGCGACGAAGTAAAAAGTGACTAAGACAACTGTCAAATAACCCTCTGAAAAGATTATAACCTCACTAAAAATACATGAACTAATATTTAAATTCCCTGGCTATATATACCAGGCTACACTTTTTGCCAATCAAAAACACAAAAAAATGGTTTCAATGAACTTTTTTGTGGATATAAGGAGATACTAGTGAAGCTTAGCATATTTTCACAGTAGTCTGTATCTTTGTGAAATGACAACCCATTTTTTGTCTCTATTTTTTCCTTGTGATCACTGATTTTTTGGTATTTTTAGTGGATTCTGGATATTGAAACTTGGTGTTACAGATGGTAAATATTTTTCCCATCTTTTAATTTTTCTGTTTTACAGATACTGTTCCTTTAACTGAATTATATGTATATTCACTTAATATTGGTATATTTACCAATCGTTTATCTTATACCAACATTTAAAAAGAATCAGAAGGCCTTGCTGTACTTTGTCAGTATTTCCTTCTAGTACATTTGTGATTTTAAGCTCAACGATCTTTCATAGTCTGAACATCTTGTGAAAAAAAATCTTTCATTATTTTCTCCCAATAGATCAACAATCCTTCCAACATAATTTATTGAATAACCTTTTTATTTACTAAGCAAAATATTCACTTTTATTATATAACGAGTTGACATAAATCATAGTTTGTAAAATATTTTTCTTTTATACTGATCTGTGTTCCTACACTGCACCACATTTTTGTTTATTGCTTCTTTTCCTGTAGTGTGTTTTGATAACTACTAAGGCAAGCATCACTGAAACTCATAAACATTTAATTTTTCTATGCTTTATCACCTAGAATTTCAGAACTAATTTGTCAGGTTTTCATTTAAAAACCTGAATATTTTATTAGAATTGGGAAAATGTTGCATTTACCCATAAAATTATGGAGAAAGAGTATTTTTAAAGACTGATTTTTTTTCTACCCAGGGACTTTTAAATTCTTCGATAAAACTTTGTCTTTTTCTATTCATTTCTGCCATTACTTTATAACTTTCCCTCCCTATTTTGGACTGAGATGATTGTTCTCTTTGGTGTTTTGGGGTTAGTTGTTGCTGTGAAGAGGAGAAGTGTGGCCTTTTGTACGGAGCTCCTGTATCCTCAGCCCATCTTTCAGAACACTGGACTTGAACACAGAGCTTCCTGAGGTTTTTCTCAAGGGTCAAGTAGATCACAGCAACGTAGGGAATATTAGACATCAAGCTATTAAATCGATACTTCAGTTCCCTTTTTCTTATTTGAACTTTCTTGTGCTTGCATCCATTAGGCCTCACAAGAGAACAGCATTAAGCCAGACAGGTACCCGTGTCACTACCAGGATGATTGGACACCCGGCCACTGTTGAGGTGGGTGTGTAATGTGAACTTCAGAAGGATGTGAAAAGAAGGTCTGTTTACAGATGAAGGGCACAGCAGCAGTGCAAACTACGGAGGCTTTAGTTCCCAGGCTTGTAGCACTTCCAGTGTGGAACTGAGGAAAGGCCCAGCTCACCAGACTTCAGATGCTAGTGCCGTCTTTGTTTGTGTCCCTATCATATTAAATGCATACTGCATAAAAAGTGTCTGGTATACATCAGGTGCTCAACAAATGGAGGCCTTTGCTCTTGTTGACAAGAAGGTGGTGGTGGAGATGGACTTTTAGTGTGATAGGCCTGGCTCAGGGTCCTGGCCTTGCCCTTTCTTGGTGGTGTGATGCAGGACAAGCTACCCTTGAAGCCTCAGGTTCCTCAAATCGGACTGCACTTGAAGATTTAAGTGAAAACATGCAACATCCGGAATTTCATGGGCTGTGAAATTTCATGTAACAGTGGCCAGGAATCGTGGCATTCTTGGCAGTTTTCCTGGTTTCTCAGGGTGAGAGAGACCTTCTCATTGGGAAATAGAGAAGCAATGTATGTTATTGGCTTAGAGAAAACTGCATTTTGTGATGACACTATTTAAAGGTGACTTTGTGTATTCTGTGTACAACAAGAATTTCAGAATTTTGAGCTAATGAATTTTGTGTTTTAAAGATATAATCAGATTATTTTCCATGCAGCTCTGTAATAAGGACCCAAGGTAGCCATCGAAGACATTCATTCATAACCAAGTAACTTTCATGAAACTGAGTAGCACAAGACACTGCTTTACTGAGACATAATGAGCTCTGACTGCAGCCTTGGTATCTTGCCTTAACCTCAAGCAAAGGTGACATGGAAAAACAAAGACACAGCAGTTGTACTGGGCCCAATATCACTCTTCTCTTTAGAGCAGGTTAAAAAGATCTTTTTCACTTATAAACTAAACTTAAGCATAAAAGAGATGCAGTTAGGTTAGGTTAACAAGGGAGAATGAGCTGATTATTATAATGTTGAGTCTGAACTACAAGTTCTTTAAATTAAAGGGACATACGAACAAACTGCAGTGTAAGAACTAACGTCTTTATCAAAGAAACATTTTGTGAGGATACTTTTTCCAAATTATATCCAGCTCCAGATCAGTGGTTAATTTAACCATTCTGGAAGAAAAACCAGATGCTAACCATTCACCAATAGCTGTCCTTGGGTAAAGAACAAAAGAAAACAAAAACAAAAAATAGAAGTCAGTAAGCATAATTAACTGCGAAATCTAGTTTTAAGACTAGCTATCAACAGTCATCAAATCTGTTGCCAAAATCCATGAGTTTTAAATTTATTACTAAATGATTTTCAAAGAAGTAACTTACTCTAAGGATTAAATGGGAAAATCCAGCCAGGTGAAGTGATGCACACCTGTAATCCCAGCACTTGGGAGGCTGAGGCAGGTAGATTGCTGTGAGGTTGAGGCCAGTCTGGGCTACAAAGTGAGTTCAAGACCAGCCTAAACTGCAGAATAACACCCTGTCTCAAAAAATAATGGGAAAATCCATCTTCTTTTATAATGAATGTGGAAATGATGTGCTCATAGGGATGAGAGGAAGTTATAAATGCACACCTTTGTGATACTGATCCCCAATTTAACACCATATGACTCAACTGGAACTTCTCACCACAAGTGTTGAAAGACAGCCGGCATTGCAAGCGAGGCCACTGGTCTTTCCCCATCCAGTTTCATATAAAACAAGGTGGAGAAAGAGTTTATAGCTCATTAACAGATGTTGATTAAACTTGGGTAATTTATAGTATTTTTCCAGGTTTGATAATCGGGACGGGATTGCACCTGAGTAAAAAAAGTACAAAAAGAAGATCTGCTTTATCACCACTTTGAAGTCTTGGTGTTAACAGCCTCTTCGAGGAGGTGCCAAGAGGGATCAGGCAGGGGGAGACGGAGTAATGATTATCGCTTAATTAAGATCTATCTTAGGGCAAAGTGCCCATAACACTTATTAGACTGCTATTAGATTCAATTAGACTACTTAGAGTTTTCAGGATAGAAATGTGTCCAGTGTACAGAGTGAGGACCATGGTTCGACACACTTGGTTTCAGAGAGATTAGTTTTCATTGTTTTGAATCAATGGAATACAATCTGACAAGCCTTATTTGTGTAGAAACAGTGATATGATCAGGCTAAAATGAATAGCTTCAAAGAAGAACTAAAAGTAAAAGAAAAGTGCCAATGATGATTTCTTAACCTATGATTCATGTAGTTCTTAGGGATTCCATAACTCTTGAAATGCATGACAGATTTTGAGGACGTGTGTGCCTCCACATTAGGAGGAGGTAGGATTAAAAGACTGAACAGATTCATCCATTCCAGAAGCTAATCATAGGAAGCCACAGACAGCAGATCTTTTAGGAACTACCAACTGAACACTCAATTTAAGACAATTCGTGCCCACACAAAGGCATATATGTAGCTTTTTCAAGAGAAGGTTCACAGACCCTGAGTACTTCTCTAAACATTCACTTTTCTCTTATTGTTCCTGCACCCTGTCACTGCACTGGCCACCAGGGCCACTAGGATCCAGGGGAGTGGAGCAGCTCCCACCTGCATTCTGACTTAGGGAGAGACACCTTTCCTTGGGTGCCTTACTTAGCACAGCTAACTGAGCTTGATCTTCTCCAAACCACACATCGAGTTGTGAAACACATGGAGATGGGCAAACAGTGATGAAACAGTCATGAGACTCAAGAGTCAGATGGGAAGTTTGTTCATGTTTGAACTCCAGGTTTCTGTTTCACTTTCTAGGAAGCTTAACGTGTTTCCTTCCAACCCTGTGTTTCCCCTGGCTGGGATGGTCGTAGTTGTGGTGCAATGGGAACCAAACAGATATCACAGGTCACTAAGGGACTTTCTGATTACTTTTTCAATGTCTTGGTGCCTCTTGACATTCATGCATTTTATTATTTTATTTTGAAGAGTAAAAGGAAAAAGAACAGAACAGAGAAACAGAAAAATCAAGAAGCAAACAAATAAAACAACAACCACAGCAAAAGCAATATGACAACAATAACAACAACAAAGAGCAACAATACCTATATAGGTTTTCAAAATGATGATAGGAATTTAATAAATAGCAACAGTGGGAGATTTCCTTCTGTCTTGTCTTTGAAATCCAATGTGGTGTTCTGTTTTACTGTTTTTCTCTTTATTCCTATTTCTGATAACCTGAGCAATTATTTCGAAGATAACAGCCATGCATTTTAAACCTGAGTTGGTGAGGAAATAGGTTTCGATTCCCATTAAGTCTCACCAGAAGATAAGGACAACCTAGCAGAACATTTTTCTTTTTGTTAGTACGTGTGTGTAGTGCCCAATGTTTACATTTATTATAGGGAGAAAGCTTATGAAATTAACATGCTACTTCCTTTTTATCCTCCTTCTCCTTTCTCCATCTCTAGGTCCCTGTCTCATTTGCAAAAGATCTGTCTTCCTCTAACAAAATTTCTTAAATGGAAATATGTGAAGTGTGTAAATCTTGTTAAAATGGAGATTCTGGAATCCTCTGAGGACCACTGTGAGCTGTGAGTGTCTGCAGCATTTTGTTGATAATGATGCTGAAGCTGGTGGCCAGTGATAGTACTGAACCCTTCAGCTGTGTCTGCCATGGTGCTGGGAAAGGAACAGCGACACCCTGGTGACATGGGTTTAACATCTCAGACAATGGCTCTTGGTTCAGCCTATCAGCCCCATTTCTATCTGGAACACCAGGACTTATGTCAGCTCCTCACTGTGTCCCTTTACCTACCGGGGGAGGTGAGGTGATCTCTGTGAGTATGAAACAGCTCACCTATCTGCCTTCAGCAAGCCTTAGCCACGTGATGCAAACTTGCTGTCTTCTGTGGATGGAGTGGGACTGACATCCAAGCCATCATGGTGTGAACAAAACTCTGGATGTTTGGTGGACATCAGTCTGTGATTGCTTGGATATTTTGTTTCTTTTCAAATCCAGATGTTGTTCTCCCATGCTCTGGTGATGCTGGAGCCCAGCCTTGAAGCATAGAGGGTTCTTTCCTCTCTTCTTCTGAGTTCTGACTCTGACCCTGCTACTCCTGGCGCAACTCATATGGACTGAGGAGATGTGATGCACAGTGACCGGTGTTCACCTGTGAACCTTCCTCTTGCTTCCCAGGTGGCTACCTTTGGCAGCCAGTCAGTGCCACATAGGCCAGTTTTAGCCCTGTGACTGTGACTTGGTGACTTACATGTCCCTGAGTCTTACAGACTCAGGCCTGGAATTTGTTGATGTACTAAATTATTAACAGTAGCACTATTACTATCAATAAACTCAGTAATGAAAGCAGCAATAATGAGCATTTATTGAAGGATTCCAGTGTCCCAAACTCTGATTATGTGGCTTGCATTTATTGTTATATTAATTCTCAGAAGAGGGCTGTGAGTTTCCTTTTTTTTTGACAGTTTTTCCAATGGAGAAAATAAGACCCTAAAAAGCTTAAGAAACTTGCCTACAATCAGGGAGTAAACAATGAGACTCAGTTTGAAACAGTCTTTGGGTTAAATGTTTAACAAGATCTCTCAGTGCTTCCTCTTTCCTAGTTCCTACCTCCTACAAGGTACACCGAAGCTGAAAAGGAGCAGTTTGTAAGCAAACCAGGTCAGACTTGCTCAGGTGCACGGGGCCTCAGGCACTGTTACCGTGGCTGAGAACCCAGGCTTCTTTGGTCATGAACAATAGGAACTAAGTCTGACTAACTTGATTAGAAAAGAAAGCCATTTATTAGAAAATATGTGATAGTTTAGAGAAAGCAAAAGCTGAACCACACAGAACAAGCAATGGGAAAGTCCCAGACATCCAGGCTTCAAGGACAAATGTTCTACATTTTCAAATGCTCATTGTCAGGATGAGATCATTCATTTGCTCCTTGTGGGACCCCAGCCAAGACTTCTAGGGTAGAGTATTTGTCCTGGCTTAGATAGACATTCTAACATTGGGGTGAAAGATCAGAAATACCAGCCATTCTTCTTGCCCTGTTACCCATTCCCCTTAGGCATGTGGCATTGTAGCTTTTCTCATCAGAAAGAGATGTTTGTTTCCCTTCCCTTGATTCTTGGTTGGCTCGGTGACTCCTGTTAACCCATAGTGTAGACATCAGGGAACCTCACAAGCTTACTGTCTCTTTCTTGGTCTCTTGCTATAATGTTTAATTTCACGTGTCTACTTGGCAGAGCTAAGGATTATACAGATAACTGAAAACATTAAGGATTTATAAGTGTGTTTCCAAGGGTGTTTTGGAACAGATTAGCATGTGGATTGACAGATAAAGAAGACTGCCTTCGCCCAGAGTGAGTGTGCCTCACTTAGTTCATTGAGGGCTTCAACAGCAACAAAAAATGGAGAAAGTGTTAATTCATTCTCTTGTTTTAGGCCAAGATATCTGTCTTCTGCTGCCTGTTTGGACACTGGCACTGTTTCCTAGACCTTCAGATCTTGGGACTTATGTTCTGCCCCCCTTGAACCCTGTTTATCAGGCCATTGGCTTTGGACCGAGAATCATTGACTCCAGCGCTTCTCAGGTCTTGGAGACTGACCTAAATTATGCCACCAGTTTTCCTGGTTCTCCAGGTTTCAAGTAGTAGACTGTGGGAGTTCTCCATAATTTCATGAGCCAACCTTCATAGTTCATTCATTTTTTCCCCCACCTTTTGATTTCTCTTTCATTTTCCACCTTTCAAACACACAGTCTTAGTCCATATTGTGCTGCTATAACTCAATTTCTGAGACTAGCTAATTTAGAATGAACAGAATTGTATTGACTCGTGTTTTGCAGGCAGAGAAGTCTAAGACCAAGAGATTGGCAACTGGCCCAGCCCTTCTTGCTGTGTCATCCCCTGGTGTACGTGCAAAGAAAGGGTGAGACATAGAGTAGAGAGGGACTAGCTTTTATTATAACGAGCTCTGTCCTGTGATGATGGCATCAATTTATTCACTTTCCCTCACAGCTTAATCATCATATCCGACTCTTACATGGTAGATTAAGTTTCCAGCACATCATTTTGGGAAAACACACACACAAACCACAGCCCATGCGCATCCTATTGATTGCATTTTTCTAGAGAACACTGATTAATACACTTATAAAGCCTGGGGAACAAGTCTGGACCAGCAAGCACCACGGAAGATCAGAGGCCACATAAGGAGAGAAGAGCTGTTTCTGCGGAATCCTATTTTCCAGTGTATCGATTACTCTTTATTATGCAGTAGATTATTCCAAAAAACACAGTAGCTTCATACAATAATCACATTTTTTATTTCATAGTTTCTGAAGCTCAGGAATCCAGCTGCAACAAATTCTGACTTGGAGTTTCTCATGAATTTGCAGGCAAAATGTTGGGCAGGGCTTAATTGTCTGAAGAGTCAGAGGCATTTTCAAGGTGACTCTCTCCGGGCTGGCAGATTGCCAGATGGCTGGAGGCCTTGATCATCTCCCCATGAGGGCCTCTCTGCTCTGGTTGTTTCAGTGTCTTTGGGACAGGCTGGCCCACCTTTGCAGAGCAAGTGGTCAAAGAGAGCAAGCTGCAAGTGACAATGCCCCACAAGTCCCATCTTTACTCTGCCACATTCTGTTTACCAGAAATGAGTCACTCATTTGGCTTGCATTCAGGAGGAGAAGACTTATTCTCTATTTTGTGAAAGGCACAATCTGAAAAAATTTTTCAGGAACTTTTAAAAACCAACACGAAGACACATTCTCTAAGCAAATCTCAAGCTGACTGTAGGTACACAGATGAGGCCCCAAGACCAGCCTGGCCAGCCCATTCCAGCAGAAACTCACAGTCAACATGCAGACCCACAGGCCAGATGGATCCTTTGAGCCAGGAGGTTTCAGCATGATTTGTTACACAGCAATAATTGATGGCCTACCAAGACTGCAGCAGTGAAGGCTGGTTCGCCAATGGAGAGTTGGAATGTTGCAAGGTACAAACCAGGTCAATTAAAGCACATGCATTTAAGGAGCCAGGACCTTTGTAAGGGAAATGGATAGATAGTTGAAATTCAGGGAAATAGTAAAACAGTAGGAAGCATTATCAAAATCCCAACTGTTCACAGACTGTAAGCACTCACCATATTTTCTATTAGTATACCGAAATGCCCAAATCAGGCTAACTTGATGAGAGAAGAGGTTTATTTAGTTCACAGTATTGGAGGCAGAAGGTCCAGCCAACATGGTATGGAATATGGTGTAGTCTACTATGCTGTAGTTCTTTTTCCCAATGTGGCAGATGGTGCTGGCGGCACTGCCTGTCACAGCAAGAGATTATGTCACAAACCAGATGCTAGAGAGTGATTTAGGGATTGGGTTCACTGTTATACTAACTAGATCGTATCAGAGTTCAGGAGTCTTATCCGCCTTGATCTCTTCCAAAGGTAAATGCCTTAAGGTTGTGTAGACCTCTCACTGGTCCCCAGCTCTTATGATCCCATCTCCTTCCATATCACCACATTGGGAACTAAGCCTCACATGCATGACCCTGTGTGGGTCATACTCACCTGTATCCAAACCTTAGCCTCATGGTTAATTGAACAATCCTTCAAGGTGGGGTACTGTCATGGGGTTATATGGGGTGGGGTATTGTGACAACTTGGGAAGTTTAGAAGTTTAATTAAGAGACTCAGAAGGGGGCCAGGGTGATTCCTTTGTGAATATTCTCAGCCTGTGCAAGAGGAGAGAGGGGCACAGAGGTGGCGTGAGTGCTATGCAGCCCTGGGGTGAGTGGAATGGTTGAAATATGAGGGAGGAGAAGGAGCGTCCCTTCTGTTTTGGCTGCTTTTGCTGGCTGCTGCCTTGAAGTGTTGTCCCAGTTCCATGTCACCTGCCTTAGAGTCAACTGATTATGGACCAAAATCTCCAGAAACAGTGAGCTACATAAACCTTTCCTTCCTTCATTTTGGATGTTGGGTATTTGGCCCCAGCATTGAGAAAAAAAGTAACCAAGACAGGTACTGTGCATGTGCTCCTTTATTAGATCCTTTATTAGAATAAGTAAACCATAGACTCTGGAAGATGTTGCACTTGTTTTTCCTAAGAGATGTTAACTGAGTTGGGTTTTAAAGCTCAGTAGGAATTTCTCCAACATTCCCTCACAGTCTGTTCAGGGAACTTTGAATATACAATTCCTTGAAAGTGTAAAGCAGCATGGCATATGGATATATCTAATTCCTAGAATCTGGGCTGTAAGCAAACTCCAGCAGAAGAGCAGACTGAGGAAAAATGCAGGCCACCAAGAGTGTTACATTTGGACTGATCATCCATGCCAGGTTTTCAGGACAGTCTTGGTTAACACATGAGATCCTGGTATTGGGCCCCATTCACAATCGCAATGTTTTGGTTTGGTTAAAAAAAAAATACATGATCAGTTTAATTGTGTGCTACAATCAAAAGAGGTGTACACAGTTTAGTTGATACCTGGATTTTTCACTCTGTAGTAAAACAATAATAAAACAAATGGAACTATTGAATTTTTCAGTTCAGAATAACTTAGAAAATTAGAATCATGGGAACTGATTTCCGTGAGAGACAAACAAGGCAATACAGTTAACAAAATCTTCTTAACCTGTTTTCTACAAGATTATGTATTAATTTTCCTACAACTTCTGGTTAGAAATTTCAAATAATCTTTAATATGAATGGGAAGTTCTCTTTTACTCAAACACAAATGAAGAAGTTTAAAAAGGCACTGCCATTATTTGAAAAATTTGTATGAATTAACTCCTTACTTTTACTATGGTCAGAGACAAGCCGTAGAAGAAATGTCATTCTTTTTCTAGAAAATAATTATAAGCAGTGCTACTACTGACTCACATCATCTAGAGGTTTGCACTCAAAATGATTGCTCATTTTCTTTTGATTTTCAATTAAGTTGTCCAATTTCAACAACACTCTTTCCTACCCACCAAGTAATTTATTTGCCTTAGACTATTTTGTTCTAACAGAATACCTGAGCCTGACTAATCTATGGTGAACCAGGAGGTGAACTGCCTTCTGGTTCTGAAAACAACAGAGCATCTGTAGAGACCCTGGCATCTGTCCTGGCGAAGGCTTTCACATCACAGAAAGCTGCAAGGACAAAAGCAAGTGAGAACACTCCTGGGAGCTCTTTTGACAATGGTCATTCATAAGAGCTCTGACCCAAACACCTCCCAGTATTGGGCCTCATCAGAAGTCAATGCATAATTTAAGTGTAACATTACATCCCTCTAACCTAGTATATAGGTCTGGGTAAGTCCATTAAAACCCTCAATGTATGTATCAGGATCATCTGAAAATTTTCCTGGATTTT